CATAAACCAACTTACATACAATGTTAAACTGACATAAAAAAATGGAAACATCAAGTCTACTCACGATGGCATTTCGTATAACCCGACCGAGTGGTTGATGCACGAGCAAAACAAAATGGGTTTCCCCTTTGCATCAATCATGCCGTTAATTCTAACCACGCCCTGCCAACATCAACATAAACTATAATTAGAGGATTTCCGAGTAAGAAAAATTATATTAGCAGTTGCTTCAGTACCTATTATTATTACTTAAGATGTAAATGAAATCGTAAGAGCAATTCAAGATCAGCAATAATTATGAACTATTTATCAACATAAAACTCACATGTTCTTCGTGGTGAGTGTACACTACTTCCAAAGTTTCTTCTTGAGTGGCGGTCCAAAGCTTAACTGTGCAGTCCAATGAACTTGAGAACAAATATCGGTCCCAACAGATAAGAGATGTCACCACATCAGTGTGCCCTTTCAACGTCATCGTGCATTGTAATGTCTTGAGGTCCCAAACCTGATAAAACATGAAATCAATTAAGAAGCATAAAATGAAATCATGCGTGTGTAAGGGTGATTTTCTTGCTAGACATGTAATAAGGCAAATAATGCAAGATTTTTTTTCGCATGATATATATACTTCAGAAAACAATATAATCTCAGTTTAATTTCAAATGAGCTCTAAGTTTTCAAACTGCAATAATATTAGACTATGAAACGATTGTCTTTTTTGGAAAATTTATGATACGAAAACAGACAGACAGAATTACAGTTCATCAAGACCTGCGCGAAGACCAACTGACCACATAATATAGTCCAAACCAGTTCTATAGTAAGAAGATATTACACGTCCTTAACAAAACACGACATGGGTTTAATGGCTAAAATATTGATAATATAATCTTTTCATTTTGCAGGCGTATATACCTTTATGCTATGATCCATGGAACCTGAGTAGAGCTTGTCCCCTGGTCCGCCAGTTAAGCAAACAACAGCTCTGCTATGGCCATTTAACGTTGCCAATGGTTTGAATGGGACATTTGCATCAGAAATGGCACTCCATGCATAAATAACACCATCCTATATATAATATAAAGACAAAGTGAGATCATAATAACATCAGGTGTATATATGACATAGAAAAGAAACTTGGTAAAACTTTAACAAACAATTAATTACCATTGCTCCAGCAAAAAGTATATCGTTGCAAACAGCCATGGAAAGTAAATGGCCCTTAGGTCCATCAAGAGTGAGCTCCGCAGCCGTCTGAATGTTCCAAGCCTTCATAATAATTAATCACAAGAAGACAATCAATGTAAGTAAAGTTAAGCATGACGCATGAAGCATAAGAGACACAACAAATGAAAAAGTTTTAGAGCTCACTTTAACAGTATTGCTCACACCAGCAAAAAACCCAC